TAAAAAAAAAAAAAAAATTCAGGCAGTGTGATTATTTTTTTTTTTTTAAGTTGATAGTGTCCCTTTTAAAACATTGTTTGAGGGTTAATATGATGTCACTGGCCTTAACAAAATATTTAGTACCGCGAGATGCTCTGAAAAAGGATATATGAAGCAATTATTGTTATGAATCTTTACTTCCACAGTCATTAAGTGTTGATAAACCTTGGATACTAGTTATTCCCGGCCGGTGCAAAAACTTGAGTTGGGTAAAAATAAAACGATAAAACCATGAAAATAAACTAAGTATAAACATTAATTTTTAAAAATAACATCCATTCTGCTGAAAGTGACACATAATACACTTGGAACTATAGGAGAGCTCTTATTTCAAAACGCCAGCAATAGTCCTTGTGATCTGTTCGATATCTGATTGATACAGGAAGGCGCTATAGGTATGTTGATATGATGTGCATGTGGTGTTAAAAATTCTTTCCTGGGTTACAGGTACAGCACCAAGGTGGACAGGAAAGAAAAGGAAAGAGCCAGGAGCCCTTCCCCTAAAAAAGGATACCGACGACAGCATGCTTCAGGGTATACTAGGTAGGCAAAATGTTGCACATGTGGCACCTTCATAAGGAAGCTGCCCATGCTGATCCTAAAATAATAGGCAGTGAGTAATGCAAAAACAGAATTCTATTAACTAGAATGGACCAAAGGCGAATGGAATGAACCACAGCAGGACAGGTGAACAGTCCGAACAGGGTTTGATATTTCCGAGTCTGTTGTATTTTACCATCTTGAACTACTTCCCATTGCGATGGATGTTCTCTTCCTGGCTACCAGTTGTTCACATGCCATGTACCAGCCTGCGGGGGTGAACGTGAAGTCATTTTATCCCACCGACTGGTAGCTAGAAGCATTCTATATCAAGGCCATCAGGATAATGTGATGCCCCTATTGATGTCCTCTTACCAATCAGTTTAAAAAACAAACAGGCTTGGATCTCATTGGGCCATGGAGGGAAGGAGAACAGTGAAGATCAAAACGCAAAAGACATTCCACTTAAGTATGCGCTCAAGCACTTAGTTGAATCAAGGCCCGAAAGAAAGCTGTGTCAGAAATGCCAAGAACTTGAGGATCAAACAGCTGTTATGGACAACATCCAGGAGATGGGTGGCTATGTTGCCCGTTTCTGTCTTATAAGGAATGAGGGACCTTCTTGAGTATGTTCATACTTCAGAGCCTCAGCAAACAAGGAAGTTCTCCTATGGGATTGCTGTGTTCAATAATGTAGTGGATTGTGTCCTTGCTATGAATAACTTCTGCAGTAGAGTTTGGGGATGGGAGAGGCAAGGGGGAGGGGGAAGCTATCCTAATTAACAGCGCTGTTTCTGCCTCTCAACAGAAAGCTCTCCGCAGAGGAGCTAGAGCGTAAGCGTCAGGAAATGTTGGAAAACGCCAAGTGGCGGGAAGAGGAGAGAGCAAACAATGTCAGGAGACACCGAAAGGAGGAGGAGCGGGAACGAGAACTGGAGAAACTCAGCTCCCGAGATGGGAAATTCCTACAGTGAGTGTCTTGCTAGCCCACTCCTCTAGACGAGTTAAACGCAGGGAATAGTCTCCCAAGGGAATGGGTGAGACATTTAAAATTAGACTCGACAAAGACACTGTAGAGAATAATCCTGCACTGGCTGCAGGATGGGACGAGGTAGAACCTGATGGAGCTTCTCCATCTCTACTGTCTGATTCCATATTGTACAGGAGAACTAAGGAGGTTTAAAGGTGTGTTTTTTTAACCTAACTCTCTAAAAAAAGAGTGATCAAGACTTTCATGGCTGCCTAGTCATTCAGTGCAAGTTATTTGTGGAGCACTATAGAATCGCATGGTGCTTTACAAGCAGATAAAGAAAAATTCCCTGTTCTCAGAACAGGCAATATCAAGCCCTGATCCCACAAATTCCCTGTACACAGACCTCCAATGGGAGTCTATGTGCAGAGGGCTTGTGTGATTGGGCCCTAACTAGATCAAGAAATAACGGACCATGCAGGGTAAGGGGTGTTATGAGAGAGAGGCATCTGTGAACACAAGGGGTGAGATCCTCCCTCCCCGCTCCAGGCTCTTTATGCTGGGTAAGAATTGAAGCGTTGGAAAGTGGCTAGAAAGCCCCATATCGGGCTGGGGAAGGATTCTCCCAGCGTGGAATCTGAGGAAGACAGCTGTGTAGGTGTTTTCTGAGGACCCGCTCACAGACCTGGACATAGGGGGTGTGGCAGGAGTGGTGTATAAGGCAGGGCTACTGTATACAGTGCTGTAGCCCGAGGAGCCCCTATGAACGGTCTGAATTATGCTGGAGGCTGTTCTAGCCCCTGGAGCAGCAGAATTGGGAAGGTGCAAAGTAGCTTAAAATCACCATAGACAATCCTCCTGGGCAGAATCCAAAGGAGGAGGGTGGATTCCTCCCTCCCCCTCTCAGAGCAGACGAGTTGACAAATTTGGCATTTTGTGCATTACTTGAGGGCGTGGGAGGAGCACAGGATATTGTTTAATAATGTGGCTTGAGTCTTAAAGGTAATACGTCAGGGATCACAATTATCCCTTCTTGTCTGTTGCTAACATCGCAATTTACAGCATGAGCGGTAGCATTTGAGTTCCCAGAGGAGCACTGCCCTGGTTTGGGGACAGATTGCTTTTCCCTCTTGCATGCTTCTCAGAAAGCAGCAGAATCTCCTGTGACAGATACATTGGTAATTAACAGTTCTGTTTGAAGGTTGAGGAGTAATTGGGAACCTCTTAAAATCCATACAGAGAAACACTGACCCTGCATATATGGTATTTAGTCTGTCACTGGCTAAACTGTAGTCGTTCAAATGTTCCAATGCAGTCTGCATTAGGAAGCAGCAGCCTATTTCCTATTCTAGCTCATGCATGAGAGTCCAGGAACAATGAAGCTTTACTGGAAAGCCAGTAAAATTTAGACGGATGATCTGATTTTCTTTCTCATTCAATTCTTCTGCAGCCACATAAAACTGGAGAGTGCGTCCACTTCCTCTGTAGAGGATCGGGTCAAACGCAACATCCATTCCATCCAGAGAACACCAGCTGCCCTGGAAAAAAACTTTATGCAGAGATGAAACTTGCTCTCCTCCTGCTGATGTGCTGGCTCACGAGGGCTCCTTCAGAACAGTTCACAGGACACTTCTTCTCAGAGGGCAGCTGCCCCATGCACAGAGGGATCCTCCAACAACCTACACAGATTCCTGCAATGATACTTACTCTGTGAAAGGGAGCTGGACTTCTCTATATCAGCACAGAGTTCCTTGGCCTTCTAGCTTTGTGAAGGCATTTATACCTAGAGTATTACATTGCAACAAGCTGTTTGCTGGAGTCACCCTCCACCCTTGTATTCTGTTTTTAACACTTTGCCAGATCCTGCTTCCTGTTGCCCACCTAAACCAGCATCCATTTTTAATACTGTTCTCAGACACAAATTTCTGGTAACTAATTACCAGACTAATTGGGCAAGTTGACCTCTTTCGATGCTTGAGAAAGGATCTATTTTATCAATGCTGTAGAATCGGCCATGGGAACAAATTCACCTGTGGAGTAACTCGGCTAACTTCTGTGAAGTGACACCAGACACAGACTTAGCTTGTTTGGTATTCAGTATCACCAGTTTGGGAATAGGCAAGGAGGGTGTATGGAGTTAGTTTCAGACATATCTGATCTGTGAAATATCTGTAAAAATATGCCAAGTTGCTCACAAGTTTGAATGATGTGTGTCAGCAAGGCAGAGACTTGAGTGAAAGGAAGAATAAACTGAAACAAAACTCAAACAAGATGCAGGTAATAGAATAAAATATTTCTCTGGGATTTTGTACATATACATGGAGTAATGGGCATAAGTACAGGGGTGTATCTGACTAGGCATTTTTTTTAAAGTACTTTTTAAAAAATCTCTGACTCATTTCCAGAAAAGAGGGTTAGATTCTAATTGCAGAGAGCACTGTCAATTCATCATTTAGGGCCAATTAGCAATTAGTGCAGTAGGTTACAGCAGCCTTGGAAAACCGTCATAAAAATGTCCCCTCCCCACATTATGATGAAAATGCGTATTGCATCCAAAAATAAAACTGTTGTGTTGATAAGCAGGCAAAAAAAATTTGCAATGCTGAGTAACAAAATTCTGTTTGCTCATGTGTAGAAGGGGGAGAGGTCATTATTTGGAGGCTGAGGGTAGGAATGTGAGAGACTGAATTGGGGATTTCTCCATTTTATGAGGGGTCAGGCAAATGTACTTTGTAGCTCAGAGAGCAAATTTTCATGGCAGTTTTGCAAAGTTGATTGAAGTACTCTCTTTGAATTGACCACGCTGTATAAAATGTTTTCCTTTGGCAGATGATTATTGCTCTATAGTAGCTTACTGCTGGGTTATTCTAAAATTAGTGCAAATGGGAGTCAGAAATGAACCCATTTACTGTAAGCAACTTTTAAAAATTATATCTAAAAGACAGTATTTCTCATACCCGCCTTTGTATATTACCCCGGTGAATCCTTCATCCTTGTTGTGTTACAGCAATGGGTTCTATTAAATGTTGTGTGGCCTGTTTTACAACTGTGTGTTCGGTCTCAAGCATAAATGAGATTTACACTAAATGACTAGCCAGCAACCTTAAATCCTTGTAGCCAGGTAAGGAAATCAACCAACCACCTGCCATTATTAAATAATCAGAGCTGGCTAACAAACTACAGATGTGTCCATCCTTGTAGTTGCTATGATGGCACCCTGTCCTAAGAGGAAGCCTGGGCTCACCCTCTGCCTCTCTGGAAAAGCCATGGGTATTTTGTCCCTTGGCCCCTGTCATTTGGGGGGTGGGAGGTAGGGTGACCAGACAGCAAACGTGAAAAATTGGGACAGGGGTGGGGGGTAATAGGAGCCTATATAAGAAAAAGACCCAGAAACCGGGACTGTCCCTATAAAATTGGGACATCTGGTCACCCTAGGTGGGAGGGGAAAGTGACATGCTCCCCTCCTTGTAGGCTGGAGTGGGAGGAGAGTGGCAGCTCCTAGCTCTCCCCCTTCCAAGGCGGGGATCTTGGAGGGGGAGCTAGGGGGGCCCCTGGGGCGGCACGTGGAAGATGAGGAGGGAGGAAGCTGCCAAGCGCCACCCTCCATGTGCAGCTGTGCCCCTTCGCTCGCCCTTTAAGAGTGTGTGTGTGACATAGATAGCAGGCCATTCATAATTCCAGGCGCTTCGCTGCTTATTGGCTACAGCCGGGCGGGGCGGGGCCTGACGTAATACGTCACTCAAATTGGGCGAGACCATCACTGGCGAGAGAAGGAGGGAGGCATTTTTTCCGCCCCCTTTCTCTACCTCGCCCCTTCTGGCGGTTCCCCCATCAGCCCAGCATGTCGGATGTACCCTTAGGGTTTCCTAGGGGAACTCGTCTGGGACTAACCCTGGACCAGGCAGTGGCTCCCCCTCCTTACACTCCTGCTCTCAGTACCCCTTGCCCGTGTGGGGAATGGTACATCCCACTCCCCTCCTCCTCAGGCCTCCGCCATCTTGGCGCCTCCTCAGTGCAGGAGCCGCAGCGGGCTCGGCCGGCTATAGCGGCTCCTCCTTAGCGGTGGAGCGAACCACTGCAGGGACGGGCAGGAGGGGCAGCTAGCGGGGCGGACGGAACCATTGTGGGGAGAGGGAGGAGCGAACGGGCAGGACCGAGCTGGCAGCAGCGGACGGCTCCATCGGGCGGAAGGTGTAGGGGTTCGGGCGGAACCACTGTTTTGGGGGGACAGGGGGGTGTAACGGGCCGGGGCGGAACCATGCGGAGGCGCTGCTAGGGAAGAGGGGGGGGGCCGATCCGCCATGGCCTCGAACTGCGCGGGGGGCTCGTCGGCGGGGGGCGCCGGGGCGGCGCTGGGGGCCGCGCTCAGCGCCAGCAAGACCAAGACCAAGAAGAAGCACTTCGTGTGTCAGAAGGTGAAGCTGTTCCGGGCCTCGGAGCCGCTGCTCAGCGTCCTCATGTGGGGGGCCAACCACACGGTGAGGCGAGCCCGGGATCGGGGCCCCCCCCAGTGAGGAGACCTCAGCCACCCCGCCCTGGGGACAGCCCCCCTCCTTGGGACCCCCCTCATAGCCTGGGCTCTTCCCGCAGTGCCCCTATGGGGGGGGGGCAGCTATATCCTGAGGAGACCCTGCTATTGGGGTTGGGGGCGTTTCCCCATCCCTCTGAGGGTACCCCCGCCTTCCCCAGGACACCCTCATCCTGGGG